ACGAGGGGCGTTTTCGTATGGGAGAAAAAAAAAAAAAAAAAAGAAAAAAAGAAAAAAATCGTCGTGTACACGTATGAGCCGTGTTATTCAACCCCGGTCCAAAATCCTCGAATTTCTACGTCTCGCGAAAATACTTAATAAACATCCGAGCAAAATTGAAACAACAATTCACACGTATCAACAACGAGGTGTATCGTTCAAACCTCAGAAATTCAACAACTGGGTAAACTCGATGTGGCTGGGAAATAATTCAAATAACGCAGCGGAGGTTTAAACGCGCGCGGTTATATCTTCGAGAAGTGGCGCGATAATTTCAAAGCTCGCGATCGAAAGAAAAAAAAAAGGAAGAATATCGAGAGATATCGGCCCCAAGAGCATTCCGAGTCGGCGAGTGTCTTCTGGAATAATTGAATCGAATCCGACTGTCCAAGGGCAAATGGAAGCCAGCGAAGGTGTCTATTCATCCGCGAATAGAGTGGAGGTCGCCGCGCGCTTCGTGAGAAACTAATTTATAAAGCGAAATGGTCGGCGGTAATTGAACATCAAAATGTCCATTAAAACCCTCTGTGCATTCATAACGCAATTTTCCATGCTTTTACGAGACGCTTCACGCCTTTCGTCGGCGGGCTATCGCTCGCTTTTTGCGTGAACACCGACAAAGATTGTTAGTCATCCATAGCGCGACGTGGAAACGCGCCACTAATAGACACTAAGTGCATTTAACTAATAGTTACGTGATCCTTCACCGAGGCAGATCTCTCTCCTCTCTCGACTTCTCCCCCTCCCCCTCCCCCCCCACGGAAGAGAATCTTCATCAATGCTGCGAGATTCTATTAAAATAGGATAGCGCCGTCTAAAGAGCACTCATTTATCGCTGCGAGGCTAATAACTCGAGAGATGGTGTTCACGCGGACGCTATTCGGCCGCGCGTTTTCGCCGTTTTAATGAAAAATTTATCGTCTCATCTCCGAGAGAGAGAGAGAGAGAGAGACTAGCGATCAATCGTTATAACACGCCGGATAGGATAGGTCCTCCGCCCGATCTTAAACGCCACTCGACGAACCATGTTATTCGTCGTCATTGAATTTTCCACCCTCACCCGAGAACCGAGCTACTAGTTTACGTTCCGCGATAACGGCATTTAACAACGTCGCGAGAGAGTATTCCGACGAATATTTCGAAACGAGAGAGAGAGAGAGAGAAAGACACATACTCTTGTCGCGAAAGATTTCCTTTCTTTTTACGTTATCGAAGAGCTGCAACGAGGGTCGAAGTGAAATGAAAATTATTGTTCGCCGACGTGAAAATGGCCCCTATGTTCTATCGAGCGATCTGATGGTGAAAAATTTGTCAACGGGGCGCGGGATTTAACAGTTTCACGATTCCAGCGAAGGGGGCTGAGAAAGAGCTGCGAATCGTAGCCGGTTCCAATTTTCGTCGATAAATCGGCGCGTATACAGAGGCAACGAGATGAAATCCCGTCGAGAATACGATGCTGCAAATGGGCAAAGCCGGCGTGCCTTGAAACCTGCCATCCCGCTCGTTTCAATTTCGATATATATGTTTAGGTAACGCGTTACACCTGGCAATTCAATAAAACCGGGCTTGGGAAATGAGAAAAAAGAAAAAAAATACACAACGACGAAACAGCAGAGGTCGAGAATAATAAACGCACGTCGGATTTTCCTCAAATTCCTCTGCTAAATACGTATATATATATATTTTTTTTTTTTTCTTTTTCTTGGAACAATCGAGCTTTTTTCGTTTGCTCGACACTTCACGCTTGGAAGGAACACGACAGACACGGCCAGCGCGAGGTTTTCCTTGTTGGATCGGGATGGAAAAAGATCGAGCAACGAATCTCGGCGCACGCACGATCGACAAAAATTTCCATTTCCTTTGATTCAATCCAGTCGCCGCGAGTTTGTACCATAAATCGTGCACATCGAAATTCCATCGTATTCCTCCGACTTCGTGATCGATCGCGGCGACACGTGACTCTCTTTACGACGCTGTCACGGGACAGTAATTGCTAGTATCGTGTCGAACAAAGTCGGCGGAGACGGTAGAGGAATTGAATCTCGACAAGAAATTCGTTCGTTTCGTTTTCTCTTTTTATTGCGAGATCACGTCTCGAGAAGTCGAGATGGTTCCTTCAATACCGTGTTAAAGTGGCTGATTAAAATTCAAATTTCCGAACGAAGTTAGAAAGATGAATACGCGAGAGAATGTTGTAGGTCTTGCATTTCAAATCGATCTCATTGCAAATCGAATTCACTCTGCGGGTGACTGAAAAGTCAGGTGATGCAATGTCATTTGGTACACGTTTCTTTGTGATTACTTGTGCGGCAATTACCTAAAATCATCGAACACGCAGAATGCTAATCACTCTACTGCAACTATCATTGTCACATATTGTCATATTGTCGTAATTACTGTACGAATGTGCACGTAGAATTATTTCTGACATCGAGCGAACCTTTCCAGTGTTAAATAAGTGTTTCGTACTAATTTCATTTTTCCTTCAAGTATTATTACACACGTGCAGTAAAATATTTCCATTCAGGAACAATCACTTTACATCTATCTATTTTTATTACAGTGGGTTAAGAAAACAAATTTGTGAAAATGCTTGATCTGCAAAAGGGTGATTTATATATAAATGTATAGCGATAATTTATATATTATAAATACATATTTACATATCGTTTATCTATATTTATATATTCTCCGCACTCTGGTATCTTCGAATTTACTTCAAACTCAACGAACGCGTAAAAGTCTGCCATTTAATTACAACGAAAAGGCAAAAGCGACGGGTGAAATTGTTTCTTTGAGCTTCTATTACGGGAAAGAGAGAGAGAGAGAGAGAGAGAGAGAGAGAGAGATTCGAAAGGGGAAACGAAAATTCTCCAGCGGATGATACGATCGATAAAGCCTTTAATACAGGAAGAGCAATCCCGCGGCAATCTACAACGATCGGGGGCGAATATCGCGCAAGTTATTGGCAAAAAATAGGCTCCGTGTAGTAACAATATTCGATGGTTGATGAGCTCATCAGAAGCGAAGTTTATTAGTTGGCAATAAGAACAATATAGAACCCCGTCGGCCGCTTTCGTTCGAACTCCCCAAGGAAGCTCCTTAATCGAAAGGCTGAGAGAAAGAAACACCGGCTCTCGCTCGCTGCGGCTACTTGACGCGAAATAATTGGCCCACTTTCTCAACCTTTCTTCCTTTCTCTCTCTCTTTTTTTTCTCTTATTTCTGTAACAACAGCGAATGATAGCGGCTTTCGTTCGAAAATGCGAGAAACCCCCCCCCGAACGATAACGATATTTTTATAATAATAATAATAATAATAATTTGCCTTTCAAGAGTGGAGATCGGATGATTCGTTCTCGCTCTGGCCGATCCCCGCGGAGTTTCGCGTGTAATTAAAAGTATCTCACCCGCCCGGTCAAAGCAAACGGAGCGTCGTCCCGTTTTAGAGAGCCTAATTTACATCTGGAATTTAATTAACCAGATTTCCCAACACGAGAAAGAAAGGAAGAAAAAGAAAGGAAGAATGAAAGAAGAAAACGCTGGCACCCTCTTTTTTTTCGAAATACACGAAGGGGACAATTCCAGAACTGCTACTCCGCGTAATATAATGTATCAAATCAAGCTGAGAGGGAGAAATATGGCGACGAATACGAGCGAAGCGACAGGGGAAGGCCGCCAGCCTGTCACCAGGCCATAAAATTCAATCTCTTACTTTCTAAACTGTACGTACGTACGTATTTCCGCATCTTTTCATTCCACGAGCATGAAATGTTTGGACATTCGTCGCGGCTCATTTTATATCGCGAAAATATTTTAACGCAGTTTCATCGCGAAATGAAATCGCTACCGTCGGTGATCAAATTGAAAATCAATCGGACAAACGCCGGAGACATGCTGGCGAAAGCTGCCAGATACGTATTTTCTGTAGAAAAATATATTTGCAAGCAAAAGATATGTCTTAAATAAATTGACACACTGCGAATCCTCGTGCAAATTTGCAACGAATGCAGGAAGGAAATATCCAAGGTTCAACGTTCCGTGTGAAATTTGATTCCGTGAAGCAATTTTCCATCGAGATTCCTTTTTTCATACTTTAATGATCTCTGCGGGCCACAAGTACAGTTATGCCAAACGTCTCGATAAATTTATAAGTTTATTAATTAGTTTATTATTAAGTTTGATATATAAGTTTCCACGTGATGTTTCAAGCTAAACATCGTGCATTCAGAAAAGCTTTCCACAAGCATTCGAATACTTCCACGACTATAAAATGCAACACGATCGTGCCGGGGAACGCAGTACATCATCGCGAACCATCGAGGAGGATATCGTATCGTTCGATGCCATATTTCGATACGAGAAGACGACGTTCAAATCGAGACGCGGCTGCCATGAGACACAGACAACCAGAGAACACAAACGCGCGTGGAACGGAGAGAAACGTTTTCGGACAATTGAATGAGAGATGAAGTTAGAAGAGATGATCAAGACGCAGAAGGATCGAGAAAAGTAGAACTAGAAGAGAAGACAGGGAAGATTCAAAAGGGTGAACTCTGGGGCGAAGAAAGAAGTGAGAGAATGAACGTTTCTCAGATGCAGCCAGCTTCACGCCCGAGGGATTCGCAAAGGCTGACCACAAGTTCGAGTACATTATGCAACAACAGCCTAGTTCGAGTCCACGCCGAGGTAAGATGGATTTCTGCGCCAGGATAAAGTGTAACATAGTAGTCTGTTGCCTCACCACCGACGAATTCTAACGTCCAGATTTGCTCCAGTCTTCTGTACCATTGTGAGATACTGTAAAGTCCATGTTGTATCCTGCCAACGGTACAATTTAATCCTTGCACGGACGGCTACGTGGCCATATTTCTTGCGGCGAACCGCTCGTGACTTTACCCCTCGCGTCCGTGGTCTTTCGATATATCTTTGGCGAACGAACGAACAAGTATAAATTGTAATTTGGTGTTAGATTTCGACGTGTCACGTTCCATTGTACGATACAAAATGTGTATCGTTCTTTTTCTTTTTATAAAAAATCGTTCTTAACGACGACAATTATTAATATTTAGATTTGCAGTGTAGTGTAAAGATTTTGTTAGACTTTGAATCGTGAAAGTTGACAAGTGTTTCATCTTTCTTTTCTAACGAGGATTCTTTTTTTTTTTTTTATTTCGATCGAAATTTGACTTGTACTGTTTTTCCTTCTTTAGAGGCATCCTGTTTAAGTGAGAAAATTTACTGCTCCGATTTAAGTTGTATTTATTAAATTTTCGGAGAAAGCTGGGTGCTCGTTTCTGAGTATAGAATAAAAATCACGCGCCACACTTTCTCTGTAAAATTAAAATTTAATCAAACTGACCTCTCGTTAGGTTTCAAAGAGGTTTCTTTTCTTCTCTCACACGCACATCGTAATTTGAAAAATATTTAACTGCATGCTGCCCGCAACAAGCTTCCGCCGCGTTAGGTTGTAAATAAAACGTACCTGATATTGATTGGTTCACTTTGATACAGGACCTCCCTTTTTCCCGACGAATCGGATAACAAAACGCCGATCCTATTTTATTCAGTTTCTCGGCAACATTTCTAATTGCTAAATTCCGCACTTTTTTTCATTTCGGTGTTCAACGATCTCAAATTCAGTAAATCAACCGATGTAAGAATTTCTCGTACGAGAGGGAAATCCTTTTCATCCGGATCTTCGCCTGTATCGTTGTAAAATAAAATATCGCAACTGCTTGCAAGTTGGCATTCTCGTCTAACGAAATATACACGTTACAGTAATATTGAGTAAAGAATCATTTTCGTATTTCGCGGGTAAATGTCGTTAACAGAAGTTATTTGAAACAATCTTCACTCAATCATCTCGCTACACGCTCTTCTCCCCAAGAGGTTACACTTTTCTGTGTATTTTAGACTTTGTTAGAGTTTCTTACATTGTATTCAGTAATTTTTATTTGCCGACATTGTCAATATATAAAGCAAAACAAGCAGCTCCTTTGCCCCAGAAAATTCTGTAAACACGAAATTGCCTAAAAAGATGGCGATAAGTTATCGAACTTGAAACGGTGAAAAAAATTGTCGTTTAATAAAGTTCATTTCTAATACCAATATTCCATCGTTATTTATTAATCGTAACCTAGAACTACGAAGTTGCTTTTCACTCAGCCGAATGTGAATAAAAATAAAAACGAATGACATAGCAAACACGGTTGTCTTTCTAATTGCAAGGATACGGAAGGCACGACGAGGAAAGCGGATAAGGATTTCATCAGACGGCGCGCAGATTCATCGTGCGAGACAATCTGTCTCGTCTCCTGCGTATGCAGATATCCATACATACTGCACCGGCAGTATGCATCTTAAGTATGTGCAACTAGGCATCCGGCAGATTAATCCGACTGGTAATTTGTCGTTCTGCGAATGAGCTTCGACTCCGAAACTCACGCAGTTGCACACGCAACATCTGCACAGACACCTGCGCGTTATACTACTACCCGGTTCCAGACACAATCTCGTCTCCGTATTTACGATTCAGCGGCCGTGGAATATATACAGGCGAAACGTCGCGGAGGAACGATTTTTCTTTTTTTTTTTACTGCTTGTGAAATTAACTGTACGCGTGTGTATACGTCGATCGCATCGATCGAGAACGAGACGATTTATCGCAAAGGAGAACAAATATAAACGATCGCGGTTGAACTTGAACACACTGTTGGACACACCGTGGAGTATTTTCAGAAAAATGGCCGCCAACTAGAATATGTATGGTTAGATTTAGCTACAACGCCGGCTAGACAGAAAGGGGAAGAAGCTCGCCGTGAAAAATAACGCCATTTGCAACCTCAAAGATGTCTCGGACGGATCTTCTGGCCGTACATCACGCACTGTTACCCACACGAGTTACGACACCATGATTCATTCGAGTCGCCCCGGCGAGGTGAAGCTTTTTTTTTTTTTTTTTTCAAGTAGCTCAACTTTCGCGTAATATATCGGTCAAGAGCTACACGGAGGGGGAGGAGATGAAGGAATGCCTGCCAGGTTTAGTTTCGAACCATCTGCGTTCTTGCAACATTCGGGAACGATAACCGCTGGTAATTCGATGAAACGCAACGTATCAATAGGTTAATGCATGTAAATGCCCGCTGCGATATATCACATTAAAGCGCGTAATGTAGTATAATTCTGTTACTCTCATTATGCCGCCATAATGGATATAGAAAGGACGTGTAATTTAATTA